TGTGTTTTTGTAGGTGGATGCTTGTTTTTTATAGGAATTGAGAAAAGAAGACAGATAAATGAGAGAGAATAGAAATCTTATTCCAAAATCAAATAAGAGAAGCTCAAACGAGTCTTCCTGCCCAAGCTTCATACAGCCGAATACATTCTTTTGAAAACAAAAAGATGATCTCACTCATTCAACAACATGACCTATATAAATCTATTCTCTCTAACAGAATCACAACTACCCCAATCGTTCCCCTCCACATGGCTTTGGCCTCCTCCTGTAAACTTTCCATGTGCCAAATTTGTTAAATTGTTCCAACTAGTGGTCCCAGTAGCAACTTCCCTATCAATACTCGCTTCTTGAGGAATAAGCTTGTCCACAAGCTTAAAAGAGGGAAATAGAGTTTGGATATGGCTAGCATCCTCCCAAGTTGAGTCTTCATCTAAATCTGTGGTCCATTGGATAAGCCACTGTTCAACTTGCATTCCGTCTCTAGTGATCACGCGTGTAGCCAAACATTTCTCAGGAACGCGCTCCGTGGTGGGGTCTCCCATCAGTCCTAGTGATAGGGTGGACTCCACTGTAGCATTTCCCACTGCCCGTTTAAGTAACGAAACATGGAACACTGGATGTATCTTAGCTGAGTCGGGAAGCTGCAACTTGTAAGCCACTGGTCCAATACGTGCTGTGATTAAAAAAGGGCCAAAGAAACGAGCAGACAACTTCTGGTTTATCCTTCTTACAACTGATTGTTGTTTGTGGGGCCGGAGTTTTAGAAACACCCATTCCCCGACTTAGAACTCAATGTCACGACGGTGTTTGTCGGCTATAGACTTCATTTGGGACTGGGCTCGTAACAAATGGTATTTTAGCTGCCTTATTGCCTCATCTCTATCTTGCAAATCTTGTTGGACCGCTTCACATTTCACTTCATCAGCAGCGTAACGGAAGATAGTCGGGGGGAACGCCCGTACACGATTTCAAAAGGTGTAGTGTTGGTAGATAAATGAAAGGTGGTATTATGCCAAAACTCGGCCCACGGAAGCCAATAGGACCACGATTTGGGTTGGTCAGCAGCAAAGCATCTCAGGTAAGTTTCCAAACTCCTATTCACCACTTCGATTTGTCCATCCGTCTCGGGATGGTATGCTGAACTGAACTTTAGTTCGCTTCCCTGCATTTTGAAGATCTCCTGCCAGAACTTGCTGAGAAATAGAGGGTCACGGTCACTAAGAATAGATTTAGGAATCCCATGGAGGCGTATAATTTCTTTGAGGAATGTGTCAGCTAGAGAACGAGCAGTGTATGGATGTTTTAATGGGATGAAGTGGCAATATTTAGAGAGGCGATCGACGACCACAAGGATAGTCTCAAAACCTTTAGACTTGGGGAGCCCGGTGATGAAGTCTAAAGATATATCTTCCCAAATGACTGCAGGAATTGGGAGTGGCTGTAATAAACCAGCTAATGCTAAGGTGGATGACTTATAACGGTGACACGTGTCACATTGTTGTACAAACGTTTTGACCAAGTTAGTCATGCCAAACCAGTAGATATTGGCCGACAGTTTCTTATAGGTGCGATAGAATCCGGAATGCCCTCCGCCCGGACTACAATGAAATTCTTTTAGCAACCGTTGTATCCCTGGAGAAGAAGCTGGGATAACGAGTTTGTGCTTATAGTAGAGTCTCCCGTTCAACAGTGAAAACTTGGGATAGGAGAGAGGGTTGTCGGTAAGGCCTTTAACCACTTTTTGTATTTGGGCATCCGAGTCATAACCGTCCAGCAAGGACCACCATCCATCCACTGGGGCATTGAAACCATAGTAAATAATTCAGACCCTTCATGGATGCGCGAAAGAGCATCTGCAGCTCGATTATCAGAACCAGGCTTGTAAGCAATGGTGAAATGATACCCCATCAGTTTGGCGAGCCAGTTTTGTTGATCCGGAGTGGTGATGCGTTGTTCCAATAGATGTTTTAAACTTTTCTGATCAGTAAATACTGTGAAGGATCGACCCAGAAGGTATGGTCGCCAATGTTGGATAGACAAGGCTAAGGCCATAATCTCTTTTTCATAGGCAGATTTGGCCAAAGTTTTCTCAGCTAGGGCCTTGCTATAAAAAGCAATGGGACGTTTATTTTGCATCAAGGCAGCGCCGAGCCCCCTCCCTGAAGCATCACATTCAATTTCGAAGGGCCTAGTGAAATCCGGAAGTGCGAGAACCGGGGCAGTAGTCATATAACGTTTCAGGTTAACGAAGGCCTCTTGAGCTGGTGGGCCCCAATGAAAATTATCCTTTTTGGTGAGCTCAGTAAGTGGTTGAGCAATTTTGCCATATCCCTTGATAAATTTGCGATAGTAACCGGTGAGGCCAAGGAACCCCCGTACACCCTTCACGTTACTCGGTGTTGGCCACTCCGTGATTGATTGGATTTTGGCTGGATCCATTGAGACTCCATTTCTATCGATAATATGACCTAAATAGTCGACTGATGCAAGGCCAAAGTGACTCTTCTTCTTATTAACCACCAGCTCGTGTTTCTTCAACAATAGTAGGACGCTCGTGTTTCTTCAACAATAGTAGGACAGAAGACTGGAGTTCTATATGATGTTGCCACGTAGGACTATAGATGAGTATATCATCAAAAAAACGAGAACCCCTCGTCGTAATAAGGGTCGGAAAATCTCGTTCATCAGTGCTTGGAAAGTTGCTGGAGCGTTTGTTAAGCCAAAAGGCATAACCAGGAACTCGAAGTGCCCGTCATGAGTGCGGAACGCTGTTTTCTCGATGTCCGATTCTCGCACACGAACTTGATAGAAACCCGATTTTAGGTCAATTTTGGTGAAGTATTGGGACCCATGCAATTCATCAAGAAGTTCATCTACCACGGGTATCAGGTATTTATCCGGGACAGTAGCTTTGTTTAAAGCTCGATAGTCGATGCATAATCGCCAAGTAGCGTCCTTCTTTTTAACCAAGATGACTGGGCTGGAGAAAGAGCTTTGACTGACCCGTATGATGCCAGATTGCAACATCTCAGCTACTTGTCGTTGTATTTCCTCTTTGTGAGCATGAGGGTATCGATAAGGGCGCACACAAATGGGACCCTACCCCTCCGATAGAACAATCTTATGTTCAATGGCTCGAGTTGGGGGTAACCCTTGGGGGTTTTGAAAAAGAGAGGTATAGGAGGAAATTAAATCGTCCAGTTGTTGTTGCTGAGTTGAACTCAATATTGAACGCTCACAGGAGTCAACGCTGAGACTGACCAAATGATTGTCTAGGCATTTTCGTAAAGAAGCTTGATCAGTTAGTGGAGAATTTATACCCTTAAGACGAATCTGTTCACCTTGTTGCCAGAATTTAACCTCGTGAGTTTGCCATTTGAATAGAACATCCCCCAAACGGCGCAGCCAAGCTATTCCAAGAATGAAAATCCAATGGACCGAGATCGTACACAAGGGCATCGACATTACAGATGAAGGAACCAAAATTCAAGGAAACATTTTTGCATTGATGAGTGACCCAAACACGATTTCCATCCCCCAATCTGATACCAAGAGGTCCGACAGCATGGAGTTCCAGACCCAGGGCTCGGGCTAACTTTTTGGAGATGAAATTGTGGGTAGCTCCACTATCGATGAGAATAAGAGCAGGGAAGCCATGGATTTCCCCCAAAACTTTCAGTGTTTTAAGGTCAGTGGATGAAGAATCGATAGTAACCCCACAAAGCTCTAGAGATTGGCATTCGCCATCCACAGGGATGTCGGCATGAGCCTCGATTTCAAGCAATTTCACCTCCCCGTCATCGGAGATTTCATCGCCGTCTGCTAGAAGCATGATGCGTAGTTGGCCGGCAGAACATTTGTGTTGGGGAGTGTATTTCTGGCCACATCCGAAACATAGACCCAATCGGCGTCTCTCTTCCCACTCCGATTTGGATAAGTGTCGGGTACGGGTAAACGTAGGAGTAGGATGGGCTTTAGTCATAAGTGGGTTTTGAGGTGTGTTGGGCTTAGATGAGGGTAGTGGACTGGGTGGAGTCCAATTTAGGGTAGAAATTCTTGCCTGTAGACGGTGAAGAATACGTGTACCCGAATTGAGATGTCGATCGGAATTTACTCGTCTTCTCCGATGGACAAGAAGTAGCGATGGCAACGTGTCTGGCATAATCCATAGCCTGATCGCAGGAATCGGGGTTTAGAGCACGTACCCAATTTCGGACCTCATCCTGTAGACCACGTAAAAACATGCCAATGGCTTGTTCCTCCGACTGATCGGGAATTAGGGCAGAGATGGCTTCAAAGTCTTCAATGTAATCATCGACAGATCCCTCCTGGAACAATGAGCCAAGGGCTTCATGGGCGTTTCCGAACTTAGTATCGTTGAAGCGGACCATCAATTTGTCACGAAACTGAGGCCAGTCGGTGTGCGGGTGTTTGATCATTTCATTGGTGTAGCAGTTGAGAGCGATTCCTTCCATACACATCTGGGCGAGCTGCAACTTCTGAGATGTAGGGATCTGGTTCACTATGAAATACAGTTCAGCCTTTGTAATCCATCCTTTAGGGTCGATGCCTTCAAATTGTGGGAGTTTCACCTTTGGCAAGGAGAACAAGGAACTGTCGAAATGATTTTCATGGATGATAGGAGGGATGAAGATGGAGCTAGAAGACTTGTTAGTCGGGATAATGGTGGATTTCGGGATGGGGGTGCCAGAATCATCGCCCAACTCAGTCACCTTTGTCTTGCCTTGAGATGAAGCTTGAACCATCTTCTCAATTGTGGTGGGAAGATTGGTGAGGACAATTTGCATAGAAGACATCTGTTTGGTGAGATCCAATAGTTGGTTGGAGAGATGCTCGATTTTTTCATCGGAGGTCAACACTCGGGATTAAGATCGAGTGTTAGCAGCAAGGGTATCGGGGTGCACCATGGTGCACGGAGGAGAGAAAGGGTAGAGGCAATGGAACCAATTGATAGGAATTGAGAAAAGAAGACAGATAAATGAGAGAGAATAGAAATCTTATTCCAAAATCAAATCAAAGAAGCTCGAGTCTTCCTGCCAAGCTTCATACAGCCGAATACATTCTTTTGAAAACAAAAAGATGATCTCACTCATTCAACAACATGACCTATATAAATCTATTCTCTCTAACATAATCACAACTACCCCAATCGTTCCCCTCCACGTGGCTTTGGCCTCCTCCTGTAAACTTTCCATGTGCCAAATTTGTTAAATTGTTCCAGACTAGTGGTCCCAGTAGCAACTTCCCTATCAGTTTTACTTCAAACTCAATTAGGACATAAATAATGGTTGTTGATCATACTACAAAAATCTACCCGATGTTGGAATCTATTTCTAAAGACTCAAAAAAAATCAATAATAAAACATGATACATCACCTAACGTACTTTATATACGGGTTGAAGAGTCATTTCTGGATAAACTTCATTAGGTTCGCATCATGCTGCAACCTTGAGTAAAACAGTAGAAAAAAAAAGGAAGAATTCCATAGTAGATAGAATACATGTAATTTAAAAAAAAAAAAAAAAGATATTGCGAAAGAAGCTTACTTGCTCGTTGTGGGCTTGTGGAAAATAGACGACGACGTTTCCAATTCAAGGTAAAGGGACTAAAGGGCCAGCACACACATGGCATAAGAATCTTGACTTTTAACAAATTCATGATTGTTTGTGCTAACGTCTTGGATTATGTATCAAAATGAATTTGAAAACCCATAAGATGAATTTCATGAATCCCATTGTTAAATTGAAATCGAATGAAAACAAAGCATCAGTCATGGATAGAACGCATACCTGAATTTGTGTTCAGCATAACTCAACTTCAATAATATCTCAAATCAAAGGAATTGTCAATCCTACTTTAAACTCCATATCAATTCAAATTAATTATTAATTAATAAAAAAATATAAATAGAATCCACCACACATAATTGTAATAAAATGAATAAAATAATTACCTTTGAAGTGGATACCTTGAAAAAAAGTGATTTTGCAAACTTCACACCTCGTGGGAAATAATATTAATAACGATTAAAAAAAACCCTGAATTTGCTATAAAGGCAAGACACTTATAAGGCAAAAAAATTATAAATTTATAATAAAATATGAATCTAAATGATATCTAAATATAGTAATATTCAACATAAACAATCTAAAAGTATATGTTTTACGGAAGAGAGTAGGTGGACCTCATAACCATTTTGATTAAATCCACCTCGAACAAACGCACTGTAAGTTTTACCTCTTCTGGCTACAGTGCTTTAGGTGAATAAGATTAGCACAAAAAATTTTAAATTTGAACAGTGAAAAGTACATAATTAATATGAAAATACCTTGTAAATACCAAAGCTCAAATACATTTTCGGTTCCCTCTTGACAATAGATGGTGTTGAATATATTCCTAAGTATAAGCATTTGCTCCTCAATGAGCACATTCAATATTCTAATCTGATTGCGATTCCAGACGGCACTACCTCCTTGCACCACCACCCATTTCCGTTTCATACACCAAAAAATCGAGAAATCAGAATCTAAACCCATAATCGGACCAATTTGTGTGTCTTATGATATGTGATTTTATGTTAATTCTTCTGGAGGCTAAAAATAATGCTAGACATGAAAGTATAAGATTGTCAGTTGGTTTTACCTGGGATTGGTGCAGTAAAATTGGTAAAGGGCAATTTGGTCTTTTGTGGTTTAAAAAAGGATATTGCTATTTCGATCAAGTTAACATCTGGTAGGAAGGTTTCTGTTGGAATAACCAGATCCAAAAGAGAAGAAAGAAAAGGTTTTTTAAACGGCTCGAGACTTTTAGCCGTCCATAGAAAACGGATAAGATAAGACGGAGCAGGAGTGCACCAATGCTGAGAAGAAATGGTGCATATGTTGATGATCAGGTGAGAAAGTTATGATTACATACATGTACAATTGCAATCAGGTGATGCAAAATAGGAAAAATTATGTCAAAAATAAAAAGTTAAATAATTGTTTCTTAGCATAACAAATGAAGAAAATGATATTCGTAATCAGAAAATAATTACTAACCAGAAGAAAAGCACCGATTTTACTGCTAAAGATGAAAAGCAGGCTTCCAAAATCTTTCAAGACTATTGATCCAGCAATGAAGTGTTTCACAACTGTAGTCTATCATAATCAGACTACCATATAAAATATCACAATAAGTCTTTCTTTATATAATCTGCTCAAACTTATTTAAAAGAATTGATTTTGAAATACCTGGGTGACAGGCTAATCGGGTTCCAGCTCAGTCATGAATGCACCCACAAGGACTGAAGTTGAAACGTTGATATGTTAAAATATGAAACATATTGTTTTCTTAGTATTCTAACAAACAACATTTAATATTGAAGTGTAAGAACATACATGTATCTCCTCAAAGATATCCACCGAGGTGATATTCTTCTCCCACAACCTAAACAACAAAATAAAATAAGAAAGTCAGTCCAAATTTGTAACTTAGGAACAAAAATATAATGAAGACGTAACCAAAAAAGGAATTGGTTTTCTTAATTGAAGTCATTGTTGCAATAAAGGTCCATGAAACAATCAGAAAGCTTCAACACCTAGGGACCCTGCTGTTGACAACATTACGGTTTCTGTAGATGGGAATATTAAATAAGCAAAAAAGGTTTGATATTAAAATTGTGAATTTGTACCCATATGCATCAACAATCACCTGCACACAATTTTTTTGCAAAACATGGCGTACTACCTCTATTCTGATGGGAGAAACCAAGACTTCCACCTGTCTCTCAGCAAAAACAAACAAAGCAAAGAAGTGAAACAACAAACCCTAAAAAACCCAAATACAATAATTAAAAAAAAACAAAACACATAAACAAAGCTGATGGGAGAAACCAAGACTTCAGATCGCGACACACTGAATAACCCACAAAAAATGAGAGAACTTAAAGTCGAATTTCCCAATTTCAAGAAAACCCAGATGGAATTGAACATTAACCTGATGAGTTTGAAGTAGGACCCAACGTTTCCTCATGTGCACCGAAATTTCGGAGGAGTCGGAGGAGAAGAACCGACCCAAAATCGGTGGTGGTTCACCGGTGATGCTCTGCAACTCGGGTGCCATAAACCATCGTCAGTTCTTGTGGTGGTAGAAGTAATGTGATAGTGTTTTTTAGATAATAGCGTATTGTTTTTGGTGCCTAAAATTTATAGAATTAAATCAGATGTGGATGCAATTTAAAAGAAATCATCTTCTTCTATTAGTGTATTAGTTGCAGCATCGAAGAACATAATTATGAAATTAACTTATTTCCAGAATCACAGTGTTCTTCTGCGTAATTTTAGGGCCAGGCGTCAGGCTTTGATAAAAAGAACCTGATAATTTGTGCCACTAGTAGCAGCATCGCCGGTGTATGCTGTTGCTTAATCACCCTATGTCACAGAAGAAGAGAAAATATCTTTAAAAAAAACAAAAAAAAAAAAACTAAAGATATAGCAGAAGACGATGGATTTTGAAAACCGTAACCTGAGCGGCGATGGTCGACAATCAGCAAGCTGACCGGTGGTACCAGTGCATCATTTTTCGGCCCTGTCTCAGTCGTTTGCAAGTATTATTGGACCGCCGGAAGTAGTAACTGATGCTTCATGATCCGGTGAGAGAGAGCAGAAGCTGACATCGGTAACGCCTCCCCACTGTCGCCACCGGTAATACGCCTCCGTCCTGAGGCCGTTTCGACCATTCAACGAAGATCCGTCAGCGATTTCGGATTTGGGAGAGATGCTGTATTGATAAGGTGGTGGGTAGAAACCCGTTTTCATCAGGAGGATACGAAGGGGTGGAGAAGGATCCAGAAACGCGAAGATAAACATCAAATACAAATACAGACAAATCCAACCGATGAACAACACGTATCCGAAAAATATACATAATTTCATAAAATACCCTCCTACCAAAAACTCATAATGAAGGGACCATTTCTGTCAAAAACCCGTCAGTTCACTGTTCATGTTGGCAAACAACTTTAATATATATATAATAATTTGAAGCTTATGTTTGATTCGCTGGTGAACAGAGTTTGGAGAAGACATTGATGGTTGGTCAACAATTATGAGTTTACCATCAAACCATTACACAGAACTTTAGAAACGATTAGAGAATCACATCACAGAAGGATAGAACGTTAGACGTCGTCCGGGGAAGAATCCCAAAATGAAGCTCTGACGGTCTAGTCAGTAACCAGATGAGAGAATTTGAGTTCTATTGGAAAAGGTAGAGAGAAAGGTGATCCCTTCTCTTGGAGGAGAAAGGTTCTACTTATACCTGCTGTCAGGGGGACAGAACCCCGACAATACCTTTTTGTCTCTTCAGAGCCGACAAGACATGGGGGCATCCTATTGGTGAGTTGTGCTCCTCTAGCTGTTATCTTCTATTGGTGCAGAGTCCCAAGAGGACCATGTCTTGAGCATTACACCCGTCGCTCTGGGAAGCGACTGATATTGTTTTTTCTTGGAGTTGACTTTGTTGCTTGGGCACCAAGGGATGAGTTCGGGGCCATGAGGGCGAGGTACCGACCTCGGTGTTAAACAGGTGATAGCCATTAACCAGGGCATCTTTAATGGTTCCGTTATATTTGGCGTATTCCTAAAGGGATATGTTAACAAGTCCCCTAGGCTAGTAGACCTTTGCATTGGGACGACGTAGCCAGGTTGTAACATCCATAAAAAAAATCAAGCAAATTTGAAACTTTTTAAAACATTCAAAACCATTAAGTTATTACAATTTTTTTTCAAAATAGTTTAAACATCATAGTATCCCCAGAATCAAATCATGAAATATAAGGAGGTGCACGATCACGCATTTGCCTTGACGCGATCATTAGAAGTACCTGAAACATAATCAACAACTGTAAGCCCGAAGCTTAGTGAGTTCCCCCAAAATACCAACGTTATACAATCATAATCATATCGTATAAGAAAATAGCATGCATAATGAGCCATCAGCCTGACTGGACCGCCTCACATGCCATCAGTCTATCTGGACCGCTCTCCGAGCCATCGGCACATCTGGACCGCCTCTCAGGGCCTTCAGCCTATCCGGACCGCTCGCCGGGCCTTCGGACTGACTAGTATGCCCTAACCGGGTCTGCAGTCTATCCGGTCCGCCCTGGGTGTCTTGGCCTACATCACAAAGCAGGACATGCCTCAACCCAATTCCCAATCAAACAATCATGTGCACATAAATATCATGCGCTAGCTATCACGTACATATAATCATAAAGATCTAACAGATCACTAACATAGCAACCATCCTATAACCAGGATATAGATCTAACCGATCACTAACATAGCAACCATCTTATAACCAAGATACCAATCTAAACCGATCACTAACATAACGCCCATCCTATAACCAGGATACCGATCTAACCGATCACTAACATAGCAACCATCCTATAACCAGGATACCGATCTAACCGATCACTAACATAGCAACCATCCTATAACCATGATACCGATCTAACAGATCACTAACATAGCAACCATCCTATAACCAGGATACAAATCATAAAGGGTCGGCCTTGGTGCCTTAGACCCTATTGATATAGTGAGAAGAACTCACCTCACAATGTCGAACTGTAGTGATAAGATCAAACTCCCGAATCACCGCCACGAACTCAACCACTTATAACCACCATGGACCAAGTCCATCAAAATCCCAAATTACCAAAATACCTTCAAAAGTCCAACTGGTCAACCCTTGGTCAAAGTCAACAGTCCATGTTGACCCAACTCGTCGAGTGCAGCTAGCAACTCGTCGAGTTCCGTAAGAACTCAGGAAATCATAAAAACCCTAATTGACTCGTCGAGTATCCAACCAAATCGTCGAGTCCATACGTGTCCAAATGTCGGGGAAAACCCTAACTGGCTCACCGGGTTCATGAAGAACCAAAACATAAAATCTTCATCCGACTCGTCGAGTCGGCTATGCGACTTGTTGATTCCCTTCAGTTCATTTCTCATCCAGACGTTTTTAAGCCACCCCAAATCTCCATATTACAGATCTAACCTCCTAGGGCATGGTTTCCACGTAAAGTTGCAAACTTTACATACGTGCATGGTCCTAAATGCCAAAACCATGCTAAGGGAAAGGTTTAACCCAAAGGGAAGGGCCAATGCTTGCTAAATCTGATAACTTTATGACTATAGGGACCAAGAGGAGTCCATATCTGAAGTTACAACTTCATATCATGCCCAATACCCGAAATGACTCCCAAATGTGCTAAAAATGGCCCTAAACCTAAGCATGAAGAGATCTAGCTAAAGATAAGTCAAGGTAACGACTTGTTACCTGCCAGATGATGCCAAGATGAAGTAGAGTCAGATCCACAAGCTTCTCTTTGCTCCAAGTTGTGACAACCCGAACATTTTTCCGTTAACGTTAGTCGATTCTGTTAAATAAATTTCGAATTTTATTTGTTCCGTTAAATTCTCATGGTTTAGAAGATCGTTTATATATATATATATATATATATATATATATATATATATATATATATATATATATATATATATATATATATATATATATGTGAGTCGGAACCAAATCGCGCGGAAACCCGAGCTACTTCGAAAATCAGCGAAAACCGGCCTGACTAGTGTTCACGGTCGTGAACCCGATCACGGACGTAAACACGTTCACGGCTGGTGGACCCTCACCGACCATGAAAACCCCTATATATGAGCCTCTACCCCTCATTTGCACTTTTCTGGCCGCGAACACCCTTTCTCTCTCTAAAAATCATCACCCGAAAACACAAGATTTCTCTTCATCTATCACTCTATCCGCCTTGGAACACGTTTTGGAGCATCAAACACCAGCCTTTTCATCAAAATCAAGTGTTGCTGTTCTTGAGTTCACGGTCGTGAACCCTTCAAATCTTCATAGTTCATCAAGAACAGGCCGTGAACCCTTCAAACCTTCAAAGGCCGTAAACCATTCAAAAGCAGTAAACTGTTCACGGCCGAGAACATTTCACGGCTGGAAACCCTTCATGGCCGCAAACCCATCCTAAGTCGTAAACTTAGCTGAAAAACCCGCTTTCTCCGATTCAATCGAGTCCCGGTAACATTCCTAAACCAAAAGAAAGTGTTTTTCTAACACTATAAATAACGGTTTCGCTAATAAAATGCATATATGTATTTAACTGTTATTAGGATCCCGTTAAGTTCCGCATACATCAACCCGAGGGCCTTCATTTCCAGTTTCGTTGTCCGACACTTTCACGCAACTAACAGTGAGTTCATACCCTTACACTTTTAATGTTTTTAACGTTTTTAGGGGGAGGATACAAGCAAGACATAAATAAATATTGTGACTTATATAAACAGGATTAAAACTCATGCGATTGATTCAACCAAAGATTTTTACATTTTATAAAACATTTAGATATTCATCCCTTTTGTAAAATGCTGAGCATAAGGGAAGTTTTTCAACATAATCGTAGAGTTTTCGGTGTAAAACATGAATTGAATACATTAACGAACATATAAACTATAATAGGTATAGTTTATGAAACAAGTACCTTATCAATGTACGAAACATAGATTCAATGCGAACAATCATGTAAGCTATATAGGGTATAGTTTATGGATCATAAAAACAGTCATTTAAATTCAATGGATTCATTTTATTCTACACTTAATCGTTAGTATAGCATGTTATGAGTGAGCATTCTTCGCGTACTTACTTAAGTACTAACAAAAGTCCTGAGATTATAACCAGAGTCTCCTTGAGGGAGAACGTGAGTTTGTGTATAGATCTATACGGGATTGACAATCTCGCACCATAACTGTTAGCTACAGTTAGGCCGGCAGGCCTGGGTGACAAAGTCATTTCGATTCCGACACCTGAAGAATGTCGTTCAGGCAATTCAATGGTCAAGTATAGTTATAACAACTCATAAATTTGGTACTAAATAATACGATTAATCTATGAATGGTAATAACTTCAATTAGTTTTATTTTAAAGTAATAGAACTACTATACATACTGGAGGATTCCAGAGTTTTTCCTAACTTACTATATATATACTGGTGATAATCAGGTTTTTCATGAAAAAGGGTTTTTCATTCAAAACAACAATATACAACACACCTAGTAGTAATCAGCCATATGAATTAATACATTATGGGATACCGTAACAAAAACACACATGTTAGAAAATACTGGATTTTCTTGGAAACATATAAACATTTTCATTGATTTATTAACAGGTTTTCATTACAAAAACATGCTTATGAACTCACCAGCTTAATGCTGATACTCATTCAAAATCGCTTGTATTCTCAGGAAATCAGTAGACAGGTACCCCCGCAGACTTTTGAGAAGACGGAGCGTATAGAGTCACGTATTTATATTTTGCTACTTTTGATGTATATAAATATGAATCAAACAGATGTGTATACCTTTTATATATTCAATGTAATGGTTATGTTTACTTTGATTACTATGATGCAATTGTTGTGATACTACACATGACGTCCTCCACCCCCGAACGTTTCTGTCACACCCCCAAACCGAAATGACGGAAACGTTCGGGGGGCGGAGGACGTCATGTACAATATCACAAAAATTGAATAAATAGTAATCAAAGCAATAACAACCATTATATTAATATTATAGTGCTTACATTACATTTGAATCATACAAGATTGACTCCAAAAGTAAATACAAGTAAAGACTCGAAGCTACTATGCTCCATCTTCTTGAATCCGGGCGTGTACCTGTCTACTAATGTCCTGAGAATACAAGTAGTTTTTGAAAGAGTATCAGCATAAAGCTGGTGAGTTCATAAGCATTTTGTTTTGGAA